GAGATGGATTGACACGGTGGCTGCGATGATGGGCTCAAGTATAGCAGGGATTGTGGGGCTGGCGCGGGATCGGGCAATGTTTCGTTCTGCAGTGCATGGGGTCGCTATGAGTCGGAAACGACTCAACGGCACTTAACAACAACAACAGAGAATTTCAAAATCTGTTTAAAGATCCCATTTCCCCCTGCTGAATCTTGTATGCCACTCAATAATTCTGATCAGGATTGTCTCTCTCCCTACCTGGTGAATCACTGGGCCATAATTGTGAGTGTTGGGATATATCCACTAGAGATACACCCCCCTTTAAAAAAAGGATGAAAATTACTCATTTAAATAATATATTTTTCATTTTTAAAAGTTGACAAAAAACATGCTTTATTTCTTATTATTTGTTTTTCTCTTCAGAATTTGAATATTTCATTTCAGGATTTGGGTGATCCTTATCAAGTTGAAAATTTTAACAGGATTCTTCGAAGATTAATTCGAGTCCAAATCCTTTGGGTAATGGATAATTCACTGGTGGATTTAAGTGCCATAAGATTGCCAAGGTACCTGTTCCTACTACTTCCAGTTATTAATTAAAGTAAACTCTTTGCTTTGTATACATGTGATCTTTGTCTATGCATGCATTGTGTTTTGTGTAGTTAGCACTTGGAGGTAAGGCTTCCTGCTAAAATGACATGTATGGGAGAAAGAGAAATTTACATCAAAATGCCACACTTTAGGGGGTAAGTCTACATTTTTCAAAATTAATATTTTTATTATCAATTGTTAGAGAAATAGTTGTAATCATGGAACCATATTTGCAAAAGAAGAAAAAGAAAAAAATCTTGCCATTTTCCTTATACTGTAAATTGGAAAATGCAATTATATATGCATTAGAGCTGTAGGATTATAATTTTTATTGATATTTATCAGTGCAGAATGAGTCTACAAGCTAGTTTGAGAGACAGTAAATAATTAATAACAAGTCTTGGCTCCCAGATTACATTCTAATGAAGAAGGGACAGTGAACACATCAGTGACAGAAACAAACTTAAAAAAATTATTATGGATCTCCAGGTCTTCCAGGAGATCCCTGGGTGGTGCTGTTTGTGCCTGTCTAGCAATTTCAAGGTTGGGTGTTCAAACCACCCAGTAGTACCACAGAACAAAAGCTTGGAGATCTGCTTCTGAGAGTCAAGAAAATCCTTTGGAGAAGTTCTACTCTGTACCATGTGGGGTCAGCATAAGTTGGAATCGATCCCACACGTTTGGTGTGGGTTTTTTTGTTTTTGTTTTTGTTTTTGGTCTTCCAAATTTCCTTTTTTATTTTAAAGATAACTAGTCTCTTTGCTCAAGATTTCTTAAGAACCTTTTTTGTAAAGTGCTACTAACAGACAGGTTGGGGGTTCAAGTCTATGCAGAGGCACTTCAGAAAAAAACATCTGGTAATCTCCTGAAACATCAGCCACTGGATACTGTAGGGAGCACAATTCCACCATAAAACAGAGAAGCACTGAGTCAAAATGGACTCCACAGCAACTGCTTTCATTTGCTTCACCACACAGAATGGGCAGGTAGAGGGAGCTTAGGTAGCAGGGGCAGAGTTCTTCAGGCATGAATCAAGAGAAGATGCAAGTTGAGCATTCACAAGAAGGAAGGTCGAACTCTAGAACAGGTTAAGACACATCTCTGAATTTGGACTGAGGAAGTGCAACAAAAAGAGACCATCATAGCTGCACAGGATGAGGAATCAGTTGAGCAGAGGGAGGAAGTGTGAGGCTTTTCAATGTGTCTGGGTATCCCCACCTTCACTCATTTTCAAAGCCCCTTCAAAACTTTAGACACTCTTTTATAGTATTTGAATTTAGTATGTTCTTCTTAAGGAGCTCTGGTCGTGCAGTGCCTAAGGCATTTGACTGCTAACCTGAAGGTTGGCAGTTCGAACCCACAAGCCACTCCATGGAAGGAAGACTGGGCAATCTACTTCTGTAAAGATATATTGCCTTGGAAACCCAATGGGGGTCATTATGAGTCAGAATTGACTTGATGGCAGTGGGTTTGGGTTTGTTTGATATGTTCTTCTTAAATGACTAATTTTAAAATAACCTAAATTAATTTTCCAAAATAAACTTTGTATCACTACCAAAAATTCAACAGCATTTGATTGATTAATTTAGTCTTTTTTATTTTTTTTTTTTGCCACACTCTATTCTAGGTAGTGGGGATATGATAGTGATATATCAGTTGTATTTTCCTAATATCTTTAAAATAAACGCACAACAAATTTTAAAAAAAACAGTAATATATGTTTATAGCATAATTTAGAAACACTGAAGTAGATTATTTAGTTGGAGTGTCTGAACTTGACTGATCCAGAATTGAATGAAGAGAGTCAGAAACTGTCTGGGCCTGGTTTGGCACTAGAAATTGTCTAATAGTATGAAAATATACCTAAAGCCAAAGATAATATGTAGCCTGGAATAAAGAAGAAATTACCAATGACTTGATAAGAACTGTGTAAATATACATATGGAAAAGAACTTGGACAAAACAAGGAAAATGAAGACAATAGATGAAATCTGGGTGGATTGAAACTGAGTTCTCTTTTTGAATATGCTGCCTGGCAGTCTTCTTTCTGCATAGAACAATGTTTACCACTAGTAATACTATTTACTAAGTGTCTTTGTGGAATGCAAAGCTCATAAATAAGTACACTGTGTTGCTCTGGTGCATTAAATCCCAACTTATTGGTAAAGGAATTTCTCCTAAAGGCAAGGTATCAGTGATAGATTTTGAATTATTTTCTCTGTTCACATGGATTCTTGTACAGTTATGGCTTCAAGGCAAAACTATTCAGAAGCATTGTTTATCAGGAAAGCGTGTTCAACTCAAATGTCAACACACTTTACTCCTCTGAAGGATACTTTTTAGTTTTCTTTAATATTGAAAAAAAAAACTTTTCTGACTTTAAAAGCTATTTTTCTCAATTAGGAACTGAATATAAAAAAGTAAAAAGTAAGGAAAATAACTACAATCTTATCACTTAGAGGCAATATTCACTCTTCCCAAGTTATTATGTTTATTTGTGTGTGCTTTTGCTGCTTTTTGCTGAAATTATATGCAGCCATCCGCTCTTTCACTCAGGACATGCTGAGAACCTGCATGGGGCAAATACTGTGCCAGGTATTGAGTGTACATGTTGGAAAAGAAAACAGACCACGGCACTCAACAACCTCACAGTCTCATGTATCCTGCCTGCTCTCTCTTAAAATTTTAGTACAAACATTTCCCATTTGTTATAAACCACATTAGTGGAAAATATCACCGCCACTCTCTTCAGGTATGAGGCATGCTAGTCCTATGTAAGATTTGGTAGCTAAATATTCTCTTTAGGAGATGAGTGACATGATGTTAAATTTTGTATCCAGCTGCAGAGTTTTAAACCTAAACAGAAATCATCTTACATCTTTCAAACAATTGCCAAAGATACCTCAGATACAGCATTTATCCTTGGCTGAAAACAAGATTGAGACTTTGACCGGACTCTCCAGTTTACAGTGCACCCCATTAGAATCCCTTATACTCAAGAGGAACCCTTGTGAGTTCCACCAAAATTACCGGCAACGGTAAGCCTCCAAACAGACTTTTTGCACCTCATTTGAATATCATACTTTTACCAGTTGCTCCTCTCCCACTAACATTCATTGAGCAAATATTTATTGTGTCTGCTAGGTGCCAAACACTTCAGAGTGAGTGTGCTAGATGCTTCTCAAAAACTCACTGTCATCGAGTCCATTCCGACTCACAGTGACCCTAATTGAGGCTATAAATCTTTATTGGAGTAGATTGCCTCAACTTCCTTCTGCAGAGTAGCTGGTGGGTTTGAACCACTGACCTTCTGGTTAGCAGCCAAATGCTTTATCCCCTATACCACCACAGCTCCTTAAGTCCCTCTTGTTGTTGTTGTTATGTGCCGTCGAGTTGGCCCCCGACTCATAGCGACCCCTCCTTGGGTTTCCGAGGCAGTATCACTACGGAAGTAAGATTGCCCAACCTTCCTTCCGAGGAGTGGCTGGTGGGTTTGAACCGCCAGCCTTCTGGTTAGCAGTCAAGTGCTTTAGCCACTATGCTACCAGAGCTCCCTAAGTCCCTCTAGTCTCATCTAAAGAAGTTAGAACTGATCCTTTTTGTCATCTTTAATATACTTTTTTCTCTCTATTTATTACTGCTGAACTACTTTTAGGCAACTTTTGTAATGTGACTTTGCAAATATGCTTCATTTTAGACTTTCAAATCCTCTGCATTTTCTCCCATAATGTTTAATAAATATTGTGCATTTTTAAAATTTCTAAATACAGATTCCTATCAATTTCCCTGTAGATAATCTTATGAATTGTTTATTCTCTGGTTTTATTTTCACTCTTTTGGGTCACAAGGGCACCATTAACTCAATACAAAGGGGTAAATGATTTGGTCTACTCCAGTGGTTGAAAGCGTTCAAAGATATGCCAAAAATAAACTATTTTTTTGCTTTTGACACTACTGGAAACATTCTTAATATAGTAATTGAATCTAAATAACCTTGGAAAGTGCACCAAGCAATATGCCCACTTATTTTTCTCCAGGAGCTCTGGTGGCACAGTGGTTAAAGCATTCGGCTGCTAACCAAAAGGTCAGCAGTTCAAACCTACCAGCAGCTCCGTGGCAGAAAGATGAGACATCTGCTTCCACGAAGATTTACAGCCTTGCAAACCCTATGGGGTAGTTCTACTCTGCCTTACAGGGTCGATAAGAGTCAAATCGACTGGATGGCTGTGAGTTATTTATCTCCAACTAATTTTTGACACCACTAGCCATGCACTTATGGGAATTAGAAGGATAAAAGCAAGCAACTGACTTTTAGAAACTATTTACCACCATGTAACCACAGATCTTCCCACCTCTCAGTAGGAATTTGCCTTGCACTGGGTTAAGTCATCTCTAGGGTCTATTCCTGTTCTATGATTATAGCCTTTCATCCACATCCAATTTCAAAAAAAGATGTAATTCTTATTTTCTCATGCTGCCATTTCCCCATGACAGCAACTAAATTCCAGAGGCCTATATAATATTAGACTCTTCAAGCCCTGATATAAAATGAAAAATTGTCAAAAGGAAAATTCAAATCTCCATCTTTACTACATAAATCACATGACTTCAGTTGTTTCCTCTATGATTGTTGTCTGGAAGCAAAATTTCACATTCTGTGATAATAAATTTTCAAACTGCTTTTACATAATGGTGAACACAAGCAGCACATTGCTTTAATAGAGAACTAATATTTAACTATAATGAAGTTTTTGAGTTTAAAATTATGTTTTCTGCAATCAATGGAGGTTTAGCTGGACATCTCAGCATAATTCATAAAAAACTCATTCTTAGTCACATAGCTAATTAATTAATATTACATTTTAATTTTATTAATATATATGTGGTCTTTCAGAAAACATTTTGGGCCCAACTCTATCATTTGCCTCCCTTCTAAGAGTGCCTTACAACAATGCAATTAAGATTAATTGTCTGAAATATGATATGCCCTGAGGTCTCACTATAACTCTGTCTTCGAAATCTATGATGTGATATAGATTTATGTGGGAAAGAGGGATATAATGGAGTTCTACTATATTTCCAGTATCAAATCACTTGGATTCCAAGGTGAACAAATACTGACTTTCAAGCTATAAAAAGCCAGGTTATATTCACTTAGGCAGGACAGGGTTGCTTTGAACATGCTTGAAAATGCATTCGTCATTTTAAAGTAGGAGGAAAGGATTTAATCTTCCACTCATGCTGAGGAACTAAGCTGAAGTTCCAAGTTCATCCAAATTCTTGTTCATTTACCAGTCAAAATTGTACATAAAATTATAATAGGATTTATTTTATCACTGGCTAACTTTCTGTCAAGGATTTGGGACTTGTAGTGGCCCTTTATACCATGTTCATATATTTTATATATATATAAACTATAAGATTTTCTAGAGTTGTGACTAAGTCTTTCCCATCCTCATTTGTTTCAGATCCTCCAATTAGAAGACAGCACAGTTCAAAAGAGAAAGGACTTAATGATAGAAATAACAGTATAAGTCCCTGTAGGTAGAGGGTAGTAGGCCCACTTCTTGGGACACCAACAGACATATTCCTCTGCCACACTCCAGAAATCAATGTGATCCTAGTTCAGCATAGCCTAACTTTTTTAAAAGAAGCCATGGTTAGGAGTCTTTGGCAGATAAGTCAGTACATGGGAGCCAATAGACAGATTTTAATCTTTGCTCTCCAGTGCTTACTGGCTTTATGATCTTGGATAGGTTACTTAAAACTAGGGATGAAAACTTACCTCAGGATTGTTATGAGGATTAAATAGGAGAATGTGTGGAAAGTATTTAGCACTAAGAAAATCACAAGCCAATGAGAGTTTTCAAGGAGGTCACCACCTTCATTTGTTGACTTAGCGCATCTACTGAGACATTTCAGTATCTTTCATCCCAGGAAAATCTCATGTTTTTAATTTCTTCTGGCCTACACTTCAGAATTTCCAGATGTAGAAAAGTTGCCCACTTGATAGGGGACACTGTCATATAACACTGCTATGTACACAGCCACCATTTAACTGGGTTGGGCTGGAGGATCCCTTCCTGAACCTGGAAATGGCTCTCTGAATTTGAAATATGACCTTCAAAAATGCCTTCTCTTAAGAGAAAATAGAACAATATTATGAACCAACCCTTTAGCCAGAATTATTCCCTTAACAATCACTAAACAATAGAACAACCAAGACTGCTTTACTTTTTCTTTCTTACTTTGTTTTTAACCTTTTAACTTTACAACGTAAACATAACCATGATCTCATTTTTTCTCTCATTGTTCGTTAGCTAAACCTACTCATTGATTTTTTTTTCTTCATTACACTTCGTAAAAACTGGAATGAAATTCTCTTATAAAAACAGATTGTACATTCTCACTTCTCTGATCAATACTTACAATCTGCTGAAAAATCTGTTAGATCTCTGGCAGGGCAAGCTAGAGCAGGGTCATAAGCTCATGAACATTAATAATATTTTATTTTAGTCCCACTCCAAGGATAAGGAAAACAGAATATAATTATAGCCTCTCATCTTTCATGTAACACTAGACAAAGGAAAAATTCATTCGTTTATGAAGAATGTGAAATAAAATGCTTTTGGTCAATATAGTTACCTCCCTCCTTTTTTTTTAACTTTTGCTTTAGAGTATTCTCCTGTTTGCCAAACCTAAAAATGCTGGATGGGATCCTGAAGCTGCCAGAAGATTATTCACCACCAGAAAGAAATTTTTTTTCCAAAATGTGTATTATATCCTAATATATAGAAAGAAAGCAACCACCATTGTTGTTAAAAGCTAATAAACACAAGAAATGCATAGCTAAATATTATTACTTATTATATTAATCATGCATATCAAGAAGCTCTGGTGGCACAGTGCCTAAGTAAGGTATTTGACTGCTAACCAGAAGGTTGGCAGTTCAAACCCACCAGCCACTCCATGGAAGGAAGATGGGACGATCTACTTCTGTAAAGATTTACAGCCTCGGGTTGGTATGAGTCAGAATCGACTGGATGGCAGTGAGTATCAGTAAATATAAGGAGCCCTGGTGGCACAATGTTTAAACACTTGGCTGCTAACCTAATCGGCAGTTAGAACCCACCAGATGCTCTGTGGGAGAAAGATGTGGCAGTCTGCTCCCATAAAGTTACAACCTCAGAAACTCTATGGGACAGTTCTACTCTGTAGAGTCGCTATGTGTTGGAATCCATTCAATGGCAATGAGTGATCAGCAAATAAATTTTAGTACACTCATATAAATATGAATGTTTTTAGAAATTTTATGTGAGGTATACCAGAAAATTATACAATATATGTTTTTAAAGATTTAAAAGTAGAAATCTTAAAGACATAAAAGTTTAATATGAATAAGGGTTTTAAGGTTTTCCCCACACTTCATGAACTCATGCAGACCATCTCCTGAGCGATGAGCCCCTTACTCTGAGAGTGCTGCTTTAAATACCTGAACAGATCAAAAGGAAAAGGACCATCAGAAGTGCCCTGCATCATCTTCAGGCATGGCATTGGAGCCTTTATTTTTAACACTGTTTTTCTATGTGACTTTCACACAACAAGATTTAGGAAGGTCCTAGGCCATGTGCTATTCATCAGAATAGAAAATATTATAAAATATATATACTTAGGAAATAAACAATAACAGTAAAGCCTCTTTTTGTTCAAAGTACTTCATAAACATGATTTTAAACTGCCTTTCCTATATGTCAATGAGAAAGAAGACAATAGAATGTAATTGCTATCAACTTAAAGAAAGGTCAACAACAAGATCAATTTATGACCTTATTTAATTTAATTTTTATTTTTTAACTCATAAAAGTCAATTTAGTTGCAGAAGAACAGACTCAATCTGGAAATTTGCCAGCTGTGTGGAACAAAGAAGGACTGTGACAAAGCACAGACTTGTTCTCAAAATTTCCATCTGCAAGTGACCTATATCACACTTCTTTATATTTCACTGATCAAAACACATTGCTTGAGAAATCTGACATCAAGAAGTAGAAGACTTCATCCAGAAGGGCAAGTAGATATTGGTGAAAACTAATGCAATCAACCACCCAACCAACAAAATCAAATAAATATTTTTCTGGATCATGCTGCCATGACTGAATGCTACTTTGAAAATAATATAACAAATATTTACACAAAACCAAGACACAGTCCCTTCCCTCAAGAATCTTATGAAAGACTGAAGAAGACAAGCATACACGTAAGACCAAAAACCCAATGAAAAATGCGGTGAATCTGCTATGGAAGTAAATGGGGGGAAGACAGTTAATTTTAAATGATGGAAAGAATCTTTTGAGATGAATCTTAACGTGTTAATAATTTGTACCACCCAGAAATACCTCTCATTTTGTAGATAGGCATAACTTAGGCTCAGAGAAGTTAAATAGTTTACAAGTATTACATGGTGAAGCCAAGATTTAAAGCCTGACCGCCTTTCAACACCTTTGCTGCATCCTCTAGTGATGTTGCTGTTGTTAGGTGCTGTGGAATCAGCTCTGCCTCCTGATAACTTTCTGTATAACAGAGAAAAATATTATTCAGCCCTGCAACATCTTTAAGATTGTTGCTTTTTTCACTACACCAATCATAATGTCCTTTTCCAGCAACTGGTCTTTCCAATGACATGTCCAAAGTAAGTGAGCTGAAGTCTCACCATCATTGCTTTTAAGGAATATTCTGGTTGTCTAGTTCTAATTTTAAACTTGAAGATGGTTGTTTTGTGTTTCCAGGGACAGCTTCATCTCTCACAGTATATCACAAATCATAATCAAGTGTTCACTATTCCTTGAACATACCGTAAATTTTCTTTGTTCAAGTTTTTCTCTCTTTTTGCAACACTCTTTCCTTGATTGCAGCTGAGAAAATTTTGCCTTCTTACAAGGCTCACTTCAAATGTTATTTCCTCCCTAAATATTCCCTCTTCTATTCTATAGATCTATTTCCTCTGCAATTTCAGAGGAACTTTTTTTTTATATCTTATTATCATTTTCTTATTATGCCTCAACTTAATTTTTTTAAAATACTTTGCCTGATTCCAAAAAAGGCTTTAAGAATGAAATAAATAAGAAAGTGGGCATATTTCATTTTAGATGTTTGTGTATGTGTTTTGGTTACCTCTAGCACTGCTCTGACAGATATATACCACCAATGGGAGGATGGCTCCAACAAGCAGAGATTTATTTTCTTACTGTTTAGGAAACTAGAAGTCTAAGTTCAAAGTGTTGGGCTCTAGGGTTTGGGTGAAAGCCCCCAATCTTGGGCTTCAGCTCTGAATCTTGCTCTGGCCCACTGGAGCTGGAGGTGTCTCTTCACTCAGACAGCTGCTTACTGCTAAGGCTGACAAACCCAAGGTTGACAAATGTGATGGCACAATCCCCAAATTATCAAACCACACAGTAGACCACCAATTCAAGTCCATTAACAGTCCTAAGATTGGCAGACAACATGGCAGGCTGCAAAAGGACAACTTGGCTACATATGGTATCCAAGTGTGCCAAAAGCTAGAGACCTTCCTCAAAGCTGCTTCTTATATATTGGAAGCAGACCACATCATTCAGGCAGCTATTCAGCTGCTCCAATAGATTCCACCATAGTGTTGATTACCGGTCTTATCATGGGAAATAACTACATTCAGCTGCCCAGCCACTCAAAACCAGGCCCAGCCAAGTTGATACATAACCTTAAGTACCACATATGTATCCTTTCTGTCTCTCTAAATCAGGTTAGGAACACATTTTCTACAAAGACAAAAAGGAAAAATGATCATATAGTAAATAGTGTAGACTTTTGGGCAATATGGTTTCCATCGCAACTATTCACCTCTGCCATTTTAGTACAAAAGCAGTCTTGGATGACATGTAAATGAGTGGGTGTGGCTATG